GTTTTAGATCTTCCAGGGGCAAAGGAGAAAGAGAGGTGAGAGAGCACGGTCTCGCTGAGGACCCAGCAACTTCATCCACGACTCTCCGTGCAAGTGCAGGGAAGAGTACTGCTCTCACTTACTGGTGAGCGACCTCAGTGGCTAGATCCTGTCTACAGTTTTGTTTTGGTTCAGTCAGATGCACCTCCTCAGCTCATGGCTAAAACAGCTGTAATATGCAGCTCGTAACTATCTTGCATGGTCAACTGAAGTGGCATGCAAAAGGCATGGTGAATGACTTCGAACTTAATTCCTTTGGGCTTGCACAAAGGATCAGAGTGTATTATTACAGCATCTTAAAATTTGCTGAAACTTCTTAATAACTCTTGATTTTTGACTGCTTTGACATCTATAGGAGTTCTGTGTTTCCATCTCTTGCAGCAGAATCATCATGTTTTCATATACGCTCCAAGGTTCAGCTACTGGAGATTAAAAGTGTTTCCAGTGATTTCATACGGCTTCAAAATAAGTCGCCTCCTATAGATTAACTTGATTTCTTCAAACTAGAAGAAATCTAACCAACTTTGTCCAAGCAGGTCCAAAATATCTCCGTTTTTAAGCTGAATCCTGCAACTTCACAACTGTTAGAGACACTTCAGTGAAAATACATTGCTACTTTATCTGTACGCTTGCACGTGAGACAATCCAGCTGCTGGAGGTAGCCGTGCAGACCTTACTGTATGTATTCTCCATGCACATACCACAAATAGCCTCAGGGGAAGTGGAAAGGAAGGGATTTTGCTAGGTGCACTGAGGGGATGGTAGAGTTTGCTGAGCCCAGCAAACATCTGAAAGATGTTGAAAGATCCCAAAAGATACTTTGAGGATTGTTGCATTTTGTGTTGGTCTTTGCTAACGTACATATACAGAGATGGTTTGGCTGGGAATCTTTGCAAAGGAGCTGACAGAGGTGAAAAAATCTCACTAAAGTCCAGTGGGAATGAAGCATTAACTTCCCCTCCAGAAAAACATTAATCACTAACAGACCTGTACCAAATAAATAAATAATGTGTGTAAAAGCAAAAAGGGATAAGGCTGAAGGCAAACAAAACACAGAGTGTATATTACCAGATGAGAATCTGGTTATCCAGTATATATTTCAGAAGGCAAGCTTAATTTTCAGGCAGCTGTCTGGGGTGACACAAGGTTAAATTTCTGAAGTTACTATAGAAGGCAAATGCAGTTCACCGTGTACTATAACAATACCAGAAACAAGGAATCAAATGCAGGTACATTCACTTATTTTTTGGCTCAAACAAAGAACCTAAGGACTGATTTAATGGTAGTCATGAAAAATAGAGATTGTATTGATAGAAGATGCTTTTAAAGGGAAAAAGGTCTTTCTGAATTTTATATAATATTCACATAAGGAAACAATTACACTATCATTTAGAAAAGACCAGAAATAAATGTCTGTATTTCATTTAGTATTTAAAAACTGCCTTTAAATGTTGTCACACAAAATACATTACTTAGAATAAAAAGCCATCTTCAAAGGGGTCAGGAAGCTTTTATGTTATTACAACAGGGGCGTAACAGCCAGAATAAGTAACATCAGAAGTACAGTAACACCTCTTCTCCAACATGAAGTTGCTTCAAATGGTCATGTTTCTGTTACACAGGGATTCTAGGCAAGATGTTTTTATGACGCAAAGCATATGCTTCCAGCACTCAGCTATAAACATTTGTTTCACTGTAATCTAGGTGGACTTATTTTAGAAGAGCTGCAATTTGTTGTTGGTTATGTTTATGTGTCCTGCACTAGCTAAACTTCCAGCTTTCAGCCTGAATTATCCACAAATCCTTTCTTAATGTTAGGAGATGCCACTGGCTGCTGCAGTAAATGAATACGAAGACGGGCAGTTAGCACACAATAGATAGGGAGAGATGCACACTGCCCATATCTGAACTTTAGTCCTTTTGGAGCTTTCTGGGTGGATTGTTTTGATGTGTACACTTGAACAACTTCTTTCTTCTGCTGTTGCTTAGAGACATACTTGCATACCAAGTAAAAGAGATTCTTCAGATCCTACTCTTGGCTGAATGCCATTGTAGGAAGCAATTTAGATTGAGGATCTAGAGATTCTTTAGTTAAATTCTTTATGGTTTGTTTCAAAAAGAAACATAGGAAGGACTGTCAGGTTTCATTTTTTAATTTTTTTTCTTCTTTGTTCTTTTGGGAAGCATTATTGCATACTCACATTTTTGAACCCTAAGAAATGTGTAGTGCAAACAGACGCATTTCTCACATGTGACACAAGAGGACCAAGTGACCCAACACTTTGAGAATTGCTATCAGACCGTGGGGGAGGAAGACTTAATCCCACCTTCACAACTCTAAGCACTAAGGCAGGACTAAAATTTGCATTTCTGACAAATTTGTTCTGGAATCTCCATTCAATGGCTTAAAGTCAACCTGGAATGGGACCTGTGGAAATTTCTATGCATGCTCTGGCACAGGGAAGGGGCAGCAGGCTTGGTCAGCCTTGACAGAGGAAGGGGTGGGTCTGTAAGTACATCGATAGCAAAACCACAGGATGTTCTTGTCTTCATTTAACAACTTTAGGTGTTACCTCTGTAACTCTTGCTCTCTGTGGACTTTATCCTCTCACCTAGATTCAGCCTCTAGCAGTAGCTGCATCAGCGTCAGGAATCAGGAATGGAAATATTCTCCATGTTACCAGTCAGCGTAATTTATTTATTTAACTGGCTGCCAAAACGTGCTTACTTTGCTTGTCTTTGTCCTCCACAATGCTTCTCTTGTTTCTACCATCTCAACAACTACAAAGTCATTAGTAAGTAAGTTTTTTATCCACATGACACTCCAGGCTCCATAAACAAGCTTTTGCTAAACAGACTGCTGTTTTATGTCCAAAAATCACTTTCCATGGGAATGTTTATTGTTGATGTTGCCACAACTTCAAGTTACTATTCAGCAGGTACCAGCTCAGGTTATTTATTATGCAATTCAAAACATTTGTCTGAACGATCAGTCTTTTTCTGAGTAAAAGGCAGATTTCACTCCCCCAACATTTCACTTCCTTAATTTCCTCTGAGCACCCCAAATACCTCATTCTCTCTTTGTCAACGTGGGATCTGAATTATTAGCAATTAAAAATCATTGAAATACTCACCCTGTCTCCAGGTCGTACCATTGGTTCTTGTTTTGTGCCTAATTTATGTAGTATATTGTAAGCAACCTTCATACTTCTGGTCCAAAGTTTGCCTATTAACACAAAATTTGTGAAATTAATTTAAAAATTCTTCCTGTGTTTTACAAGATGATTAAAGAGAAAGAACACCTGAGCAGTGAAAAAAAAATAGTAATCCAACTAAACATGACAGCACTACTGGGACCAGTGGAAATTTTTAAAAATTATCAGAAGTTTCGAGTTTTTTTTTTCAAGACAGCAGCATTTTTAAGAAGCAAAAAAAAAAGTAAGAATAGTTTATTTCATGGCAGAAGTTTCTTACTTTGCAGAAAATTTGATCTTGACTCTAAAAGTTAACCATTAGAAGTGGCTGGAACATCATCAAGTCCAGCCATCATTGTGACACCCTTGGCTGTAGCAAGCCGGACAAGTTGTATGATGTCAGCCCAGACTGACCTCTGAGGGTGTTACTCAGGTTTCATGATGGCACTTCTCTCACCCCAAGCCACCGACGGAAAAAGGAAAGGAGTCCCAAGAAGCAGAGACAAGGAAAAACACACCAAGAAACAGAAAACACTCCACAGCCAAAGGGGCACGCTGAAGCAGCAGGGACCCTCTGAGCCTTAGCACATCTGGCTGCATTTCACTGCTCATTCTGGGCCTTCTTCCATTTGACTTGGCTTTTCTTCTCACCTGCTCCCATATCCTCCCTTCCCTCAGTTGCATTTCACTTGCCCCTGGTACCCTTCCTTTTTACTGTCTCTCTTCTCCCTTGCTCATCTCTCCATCTCCACACTTAGCTAATCCTTATCAAGACCTTACCCCGATATTCTTTAAAGAAAAAATTATCTCATCCAGACCTCATTGGCTATGTTAGATGCTCTTCATTAATCCTTCAAGTGATCAGCATCTTCCAACTACACAAGCTCTTTCAGATTGCCTTTGTTTAGAGACCTTGTTACTTCCATTTGAACAATACCGAGCACAACAGCCCTTGTTTTTGGCTGGCCCCTAGGTACTGTCTTTAAGCAGTATTCAGTCTGACAGTAACAAATCTTTAATTCATGCCCACCAATAACTTAAACGATAATAGGTTCTGACAACAGATTACCT